CTGTGGGAGCTCTGCCATAAATAGATACAATGTAGGAATATACCTTACTAAAGCATGAAAAAGGCAAAAGGAACTGCATTAAAAGTACTGGATAGAAGACGTTATTCAGATGATTATGCACAGCTCAGTAAAGATGAAGTTACAATTTTTCTTTCAGCTTTGTAGCTATTATTTTCTTCTGCTTAAATGTACGCTCTCATTTAATTATGTGCCTTGCTCCCTGATTGTGCAAACCTACATATATATAGATATATATAAGAGATATATTCAGTACTACTGACCATGTTTTTGTTCTACTGCTGGATTAAGTTATTTTCCAAGTTACTCTTGCCAGTTACTGTCAGTAAACTATTGTAATGGCTTAGGACAGTAGTCATACAGTCAGTGTAATTTTTCAGCTACGTGTTTTCCTTATGTCAGCTTATCCAATCCTTAATAAAAATACATAGATTTCATTTAAACGTCAGAACTGTACTTGACTGTTTGTTTGTGGATCGGCACCACTAAGAGCCTGGTTTTGCTGTCTATGTCAAGGTACCCCAAATAGGCTGCAACACGCACATAAAGTGTGAAGGTAAACAAACTATAATTTGATGTGTTCAACTGATTAGCCTGTAAGAAAATAACTTTTAAGATTTTTTTCTTTAAACAAACAAACAAAATACAACTAGGTACTAACTAGTACAAAAAGAGGTGCTGCTTTTTGTTTCAAAGCCTTGTTATCACAATCATGTCTTGGACTGCCATGTCTGTCGAGGTATGTATAAATGTGGATTCGAATGTATTTACAAATCATGTTATCAATCATTTACCAAACTGGGGCAAAAAGAACAGAAGGTCTCCTTTTTTATAGTAAAAGAAAAGAACTGTATGTATTTGGTGGAAAGTGATCAAAACCTCAGGTTCACTGACAGCAAAAATAGGGACAGAAAGTAATTAGTGCAACAGGGAAGGATTCTCTCTGACACACTTAAACTTACCACCTTAGAAAAGAGGTTACAGGAGTTCCCTGGTGGCCTAGTGGTTAGGATTCTGGGCATGCACTGGTGTGGCCCGGGTTCAGTCCCTGGTCGGGGACCTGAGATCCCGTAAGCCACACAGCACAGCCAAACAAAAAAAAAGAAAGAAAGAAAGGAGAAAAGTTACTTGCAGAAATACATTCACAAGACATCTGGATATATACTTTGTAGGATTTTATTTAGGCCAAGTTCTTAGTACACAGCAACAATTAATTCGAAATACAATTTCAAAATTAAAAAGTGAATGTTCCCACAACTCATCTGGAGGTGGTTTAATGGCACACACAAGAAACGTTACTGGCAACAGACTGCTCCCTCAAATTTTCCTACATGGGTTTTTACTCAACTCATAACACCAACCCTCCCTCCGGGAGCTAAAAGTATAACTGACCAGATCACAAATTGTTTACATTCTTTTTTGTAAACCATCTTGTTAAGAAAAAGATGCATGGACACAAATATGATAAAAACTGCGTTTCCATAGAATTCTGAAGTTGCAAAAGACGTTTCCATTTTAATGTGAAAATAAGCTTTTTGTCTTTTGTTTGATTTTTTACAAAAAAACCTCAAGATATTTAGCAAGGATCATTTATACACAGCTAGGCCCTGTCATTTGTCAATTTTCTTCTTTTTTTGAAGAATTATGAGATTCTCAAGAAATAGGAACAAAGATCAGCATAAAATAAACATAAGGTAATGAGCGCAATGCCTGTTTTAGAAGTGTTTTCTAAGGCTCTCTCAAATAAGGCTGTGCTGTGCTCTTTCCAGTGCACAGACACTGTAACATTTTAGCTACATACACCTTATGGAAAAGACCGTTTGTACTGAGTGTAGTTATAAAAGGGTTAAAATGAAGATTACTTTCACTAATTAAGGCTACACTCAACACACTCCTTTAAACAACACTCTGAATGGTATTTATGGAGACATAGCATATCTTTTCAAGTATCTTCCTTAAGACATCCAGTAGAACTTTAAAAGAAACATACAACACAATTAAGACAGTTGTAGAAAGAGTACCAGGCGCTGAGTCAGGAATTCTACCTTTGTTAACTAGCTGTTATTTGAAAAGGAAACATCTAAACCTCATCAGTAAAATGGGATTGAACTAAAATTTCTGAAATCTCATCTAGCTCTAAAATTCTATGACTCTAAGTAAATCATGTGAGGGAAATCATCACCTTAACACTGATCAGGAGTTCCTGGCCAAAGAAGTTCAGAAGTGAACAGATGGGAAGTGATGCAGATCCCCATTCTTTTCCAAGACGTAGCAACCACCTGCCAGTTCCTCCGTCAAACACTTTTCAAAGGGAGAGGTGGCCTTCAGGACATGCCATGCTGTCTCCACTGAGGAGAAAAGGTGGTAAGAAAGTACCGAAGTACCAGTTCTTAATACAGAAAGGTCACCTGCTAAAAGCAAATGAGCATAAGAGGATAAAAGCAAACTACTATCATTTTGATGCCTCTCAAACAGGAAAGTCTTCAGTAATATCAAGAGACTGCTGAGGAGCACAGCTACATTACAGAGACCACTGTGAAGACACATAAAACAGTCTCTCTAGCTGGGTAATAAACAGCAGCAGGAGGGGAAAAAGAAAGGGAGGGATGAAAATGTCTCACCCACTGACTGTTTGTTAGGAATGCAGCAAGAGTAGCAGGCCCTTAAACCCTACTGTAGGAACAGGAGGTGCTCCTGGAGAAGACAGAAAGCAAGTAGCCAAAAGATGGGAAACAATGAACAAGACATCTTAAAGGTTTCATATGTATTTCAAACACAGCAGGCTGAATCTCTCAAGTCTAGATTTTGACACACTGACACTTTTGGTTTTCAATTTACTGCCTAGGCCATAACGTCAACAAGGAAGTATATTTTCATTTACATCCCTATGGCCTTTCAAATAGTAATACTTTAAAAAAGGGAACATACTCTTAACCCTCCCCCCCCCCTTTTTTTTTTAAGGAAAAAGGGAGTGGACACAAGTCAAAAACACTTCAAGAGGAAAAAGATTCCCTCTAGCCTGATAAAATGGTTGCTTACTGGTCAGCAGATTTTAGACTCCGATCATCTTTGCCACAATATTATGTAGCATGTAAGATTTCTGCACTCATTTAGAATTCCTACTACCAACCGTCTTGTGTATAAAAAGATAAATGGGGGAAACTTACGATAAAACAACTACTACCCTCACATACTATTAATAGCATGCAATCTATGAAATGTTACATACATTAAAAGTCTCCAATGACTTTAGGCCTGGCCCATCATTCCACAGTATCCCTCCAAAATGATATACAGAATTCAAAACTATACAAAAATTTAAAATATGCAGAAAATCCAACAGGTGTTATTTTTAAAATAAAAAAATCACACGCCTTAGTACTAAAAAATAAAGGAAAAATCAGCTGACCCCATGGATCCCTCTGCGGCAGGTCTTCAGCCTGAAGGACTTCACTGACGTCTTCTCGGTTCCCCAATCCAGCAGGGGTCCAACAGGCAAGCTGACCACCACCAACTCCTTTTGCACAATTGTCTTCTGGGCTTCTGTAGGTGTGAGCTGTGGGCACTATTTATTGGATTTCAAAATACCCTCTGCCTTATTAGTCCAGGAAGTTTTCTCAGTGAAAAGCTATTTAAATAACTCTGAACATCTAATTTCAAAACAGTTTTCCTAGTTACACACCAACACTGAGAAGAGTTTAACCTCTCCAAGTATAGTCTTGGTTGCGGCCATAATGAAGCTGAAGGCTCAGAGGACACTCAAGGGCCATTACTTTGAAGGAAGACAGGGAATAAAGGGTGTCAAGGTGACCTAACAAAGCATGAAGTGTAATGTGTACTGGAGGCAAGTTAATGAAAACTAAATTCAAAGTGCTGGAGAAATCTAAAAAGAGCTAACTTGCAGTGTGTGAGAAAAAAACCTGCAACCGTAAAACAAAAATCTTGATAGGAAACACTGTACCTGGGTTTCAGTTAAATGGTGGTAAGTTTTCTGCTCTGATAACAGAGTCACAGGTGGAATATTAACTCTGGCTACACGATCTGAACTCCCTCACACCTGCTACCCTTGTTCATTTTTCAATCAAGTTCCTCTCTCTGCACTATTATGTTCAAGGCCCATGTTTGAAATATATGCAGCCTACCGCCTCTCACCTTTCCCCCAGCACTGGCAAGTCACCTGGCAAAGCTCTCTTCTGGCCAAGTCACTGGGACTGGAAGGGACCCATGGTGGCTTTGGCCTGTGAGCTGGTTTATCATCACAGTATTCAGCTGCTGAGCAGCAAGGCCTCCTGGATGTTTTTCAGTATTTCTTATACTGATTACAGAAGAGAGGATTAAAAAGCCATCTGCCTTCCAAACTCCACTGAATCTGAAGTTGTAATTGTGCAGGTGAAAAAAAAAAAAACTTGAATAAGTATTTGGCCTTATACCACTTATCCCACTATTAGTCTGAGAGATAAGGTTCAAATCCTTACCAAGAGCAGCTACTTCAAAAGCCAATCACACAAAATCGGGAATATTTACCTTTTCTAAGTGAGTAAATTCAGCAGTAGCTAACACCTGCCATAACATTCAGAGAGCACAGCAGCAAGCCATTTATTCCCAGTGACTGTCGAGACTTGAAAATAACTGCTATTAAAAAAAAAAAAAAAATTTATCTAAATAGTGAAAGAAGTAAAGAAATAGTTGGTCTGACCTCTAAGGTCCTACTCCTCAAAACAGCACCTAAGGCAAGGGTTTAGGATGCACTTCTGCAGTTCAACCTCTCTAGAACCTTAGGGACCCTCGTGTCTACCTCTGCACGCCCACTTGAGCGCACGGACCAGGCTGCACCTGTCACACCTCTGGGTGCACTGCCAGCAGTGGCAAGGCAGTCTCACGCAGCAGCAGCGCAGTAGAACAAAACCACCTTCAGAATGTTTGGAGACTCAAATCATTCTTATAATCTACGAACTAAGAAACATGAAGGGATGCAAGTCAGCTCAACACTAACTCACCTGGTGCACTCAAGTGCTGAGAGAATGCAGGATTTACAGTGTTGAAATAAGCCATGTGAAACAATTACAAAAATGGTTATGTATGGTCTTTAAATATTGGTTCCCCCTCCTCATCCAGGTGGAAGGAAGTGGGGCTGGGGCACACCCTGGGCCACGAGGCTAACCACAGGCACTGCAGATCATCCAATGCCACAGATTCCGCAGGGGGAGAACTCCCACGCATGTGCAGTATTCCTGAGAAAGATCCCAGATTTCTTTTCTGAATCAGTTTTAACCTGATTTGTTTCACATAGTTATGCTGTTATACCTCTGATATATTCAGAAACCGTCACTTTATTTCAGTCCAAACAGCTCAGCATAGTATAAGTGATGGCAGAAAGAGCCATTTGTTCAAACTCAGCTTGCTTTTTTGTTTTAATACTGAGGGATAAACCAAAAAAAAAAAAATAAGTAGTTTTTGTCATTTGAATCCTTCATTCATTTCACTGGAGGGGAATCCCCAGGGCCGTTTGATAATCTGGGAAGACCTGACTATTCCTGTGAGGGAAACACAGCCTTGCTGAGCTTTACTCAGAATAATGCATGATAGACTCGACATAATTCCCAGGAAAGAGCCCAGTCACTCCATTCATAACTCCTTCATACCAACCATCGTCATTCTTCTTGATGACATAAATAATGGCTCCTTCCTGAAAGGACAGCTCGTCTTCCTTGTCTTTTGTATAATCATAAATTGCCACAACTAGAGGGGGGAAAAAAAGGATATGAAAAAGAATAACGTTCCTAGAAAGGTAGAACCAAATAAATGAATATCTATCCTTTCTGAACTTCTGCAGGACTTCAAACACAGTGACTTTCTAAACACAGGACCCTCCCTGCGAATTCTGTTTTCTAATACCCAGCCCTGCACAGTGGAATCCCATCTTGAGGTTAGGTTCAAAACTGTATAAATGGCCAAAAATAGTATTTAGTCACACTTACTGTTCAACAGTCTCTCCGAAGAGATACAATCCCAGAATAGGGAAA